CTATGTGAATCAGTGCTACGTCATTTTGCACTAGTGCACTCTCAAGCGATAGTCCGCTGTCTAAGAGCCATTGGGGGACTCTGGGCTCGTGATCGACAGTCTTGTGTCAAACATTTCGATGGGTCCCCTCCCACAAGAACAAAGAAGTTTATATTCCAAGTAGTAAATGTGGGTTTCCTGTGGAACAACTTTCAAAATGGCGGCCAAARCGATCGTATTGCCATCTACCGGTAAAATACTCCAGTGAATACTCCATATTCTTTTYGTTTATATGATTTTATTTGAAGTATCGCTTTCAACTACATCTTTTTTTTGAAAAATCTCACTAGTTTCCGGAAACTAGTTGAACTAGTCTAAATCCGCCCCTGGGTGCGTACCATAAACTGGGAGATTATGATAAGTTCATGGTGTATTCAAAACAAGGCTTAAATGTTGCACTAAGAATCAATGACTCTAGACTCACTGCACAGTCCTATGAAGGTCTTGGTCGTGCTTACCATTGTCTGTGTAACTATCAAAATAGTTTAAAGTGCTATGAAAAAGCTATAGATTTGTTCAAACAACTGAATAATGAAGAAGGATTAGGAGTTTGTTATGCAAACCAGTCAGTATCCTATATAATGCAAGGAAAGTACAATGATGCAATTCGTCTGTTAGAGGAGAATCTCAGAATAAGTGTTAAAATTGGAAGCAAAGAAAAACAGGCGAGCGACTTGCTTAACTTGGGAACAATATACACAACGCTGGATGATATTGATAAGGCCTTGGAGATGTTCCTGAAAAGTCTTGCTATCAGTATAGAAATCACTAATAAATGTCTTCAAGCAAAATGTTATGGTAGTAGTATACTAAATGTGCGTTCAACGCCAGGCGGATCATGGCGGATTGCGGATCGGACAAATTAGCCTAATTAGATGCGACAAAACAATGGAACAAGGTGAACGGCGGATCAAGATCCGCCGTAGAGTGATGTTGTATGTTGCTAGGGTGACTGCATGCAAATGAGGCAAAAGTGATAGGGGAGGGGTGGTCAAAACGAGTAGGTGGCAATTCATTATCATAAAATTGTGGGCGACTTTTGTGTTGGTAAATTGTGGGCGATCTAATTATGCTGTGTTGGTAAATCGAGGAGGGTAATTATCATAAATTGTGGGAATCAATGCAAATGGCTGCCTGGACCTGCCTGAATAAAACACAACATAAGTTATTCAAAGTCACGTGGTTTCTTGAGCGTGAAAGCGCTTGCCTCATCATTTATGGAGTTGCTTTCTCATGTCAACATCGACTTATTTGTCGGCAATCTAAATATGCAATGTTGGTAAAATTGTATGTCAAGGTTCAACGATCGCATAAATTACTATCCTTCATTTAGTTTTATTGACCTGTGAACACTTCCTAAGAGTGTTTTTAGTCAATCCTCGAACCAGTGTGTTCAATGAACTTGAGTACCAAAACGAACCAACGCGTTCACGAATAAGCCAGCGTGCCACTGCACTATTTGACAAACTGTCAGTTTTAAAACAAACAAAACTATCTAACAAGAGCACAGAGTACATTTCATTGAATTCTCACATTGAGTTAAAGTACTCATTTATTGGCCAGTGCCTTTTATGATTTACGGCACAACGAACAATTGCTTTCAGAGAATAGCTATCCGAGATATCCATGTTCAGTGGGAAGACTATATGACTAATACAATTGATTGACTAAAAACTCTCTTAGGAAGTGTGCACAGGTCAATACAACAAAATGAAGGAACAGAGACCTAATTTGCTCACCGTTTATGGTCTTTTCAAACTTCAACAGTTTCTCCCTTTAGCTATGGGGTACTTCAACGACTCGCAAGCGACTTTGGAAGAGTCTATAGCCGGGGCACTACAAACCATTAACATTGCAATGATATCTTGACCGAGTCTACATAAAAATCTGACGCTTATAAAAAACAGACATCATGGAGGAGACCCATCCAGGATAAGATCGAAAAGACAACAAACTTCACATGACGCTATACTGGTTTCTTAGTTTCTAATTATGTGACATATTTCGTCTATTTAACTGATTTAATGTCGCGCTAAATCCCCTTCATGACAATTTCTAGAAAACATCATCTGCTCGTTGGCACTTAGCGGTAGCTATGACTAGTAATAAAAGTACGCAAGGCATTGTGGTTGATGTAGTTCCGTGTTCACATGAAAAAATTACATATTGATAATTAGGGATAGACAAATAGATAATTTTGACCTTTTCTAAGAAATAGAGGTTACCTTACTAGAAAGGAAAGATTGCAGACATAAAAAATACGGAAAAAAACTCGAAGTTATATACCTCTGACGTATTTTTTAATTTATACATTCTCTCGACTCATTTGTTTTGAAAATATGCCTAGAATATAGGCACCCCTGGACTTCAGGAAACAGTTGTATAGAAGTAATGGCATTTAATCCTTCCTCAATTAATATACCATCCATGCCATTGTTAAAGTCACCTAAGCTGGTAAGGTCCTGACAACACTCCTGTAGTTTTCTGACTAGCGCAATCGCTGTTCTGTCATTCTTATATGGAGTCCTAGCGCGCTATTTAGAAGGCCAGCGACTTCAACTCACCTGTGCCATTTGCTACGGGACAAGTGACACACGTGACGATTTACCCGGCGCTCTCTCCCTTCAAACAAGCACATTGAAGCCACCAGTCATGTCTACTTGATCATAACGTCGGCTTTGACCGTAGTGGTCGAGTACTCTGCAATATCGGAGAAAATTGTCAGTGTTGGCGACGAGATCACTTTCTCCACATAGATGGACGCCCGAAATTCAGCGCTGTTTTGCTGCTCTTCCGTAATAACATTAAAATGGTCCGATGAAAAACGATGCTGCATTCTGATTGACAGCTCTAATAAAGTTCTTATTTATGATGGGTCATAAGAAAAGAAACAAGAACTGATGTTGGATGAAAGGAAAAGACTACGATAAACGATAATTTCTTGCTTTTAGAACTGTGTCACCGTTCTCTTTTGTTATTTTTAAAGAATAAAGGATTTTGCGCTGTCTGTGTTTACGACAAAAAATAAAGAGCCTATAGCAAGTGCTTGTTTCGATATTCTGGATGTTTATTTTAACTTATACCAAACGAGATTGTTCGATAAAGCGGAGTCTTGTCCTCTTGTGCGTTCAAGAGAATGCGCACAGACACCAACACAGGGATCCCGACACTAAAGAGATGCGAAGGACGGAAACTAACTGGCAAAGCATTTTTCTTCAAGACAACGGAGACGACATTATAGAGTTACAGGATTGTGAGGATACCTATTTTCCGAGTCAGGATTCGAGTTAGGATTCGAGTTAGGATTCGAGTTTTGGGATTCGAGTTTTAGGATTCGAGTTTTAGGATTTGTGGAATGCAGTCTCCGGGATCTCTTGAGAGTATTCAGATGAATAATTTGAGTTTTCATGCGTTTAAAACTCGAAAAACTAAATTACAAAGAACGTATAGAGGTTTTGAGCAGCGACCCCAAAAAACATACATTCTCTTATTTTTACAAATTTGAAAAAAATCCTATTCGGTGAGTATTCAACCAAATATGCTCAAACTTGACAAGAACACTTATTTAGTGTGGTCTTTCATGTGGTGAGGTTCAGTTTTCGATGAATGTAATATTTTCACACTCGTTCCCAGTCTCCTTTTGAATTTCGGAATGGCCAATTCTCAGGCATATAGATAGCTATTTCAAAAAAGGTTGTCAGACAAAATGGCGAATGTCAATGGTCGAACGGCGATTGCACGACCGAAAGTAGCCTTGGGTTTTGCTAGTTGAAAGACAATAACAGGTGATTTATACTTTCAGATTGTCTGTGGAAAGCATTGTCTCCATTACCTCCATTTAGTCTCCATTTCAATGTAATGTGAACCCAATAGGTGAAATTTTCTTTATCAAAACAGTGTAACCATAGTCCGTTTTGGTCGTTCAATCTCCCTTCGACAATCGTTGTTCANCAAACTGAAACATTTATTTACCTAAATCATATGTTATGGTTTCTTCATATCTATTTATAAAGTCAAACCGTGTTGTCATAGTTACATTGTTCAAAATATTCATTTCCGCGTTGAGCCAGACTTCTACACAGCGGGATTACAAACGACAGAGAACGACAGAACTCTTCCGGGAATTTCGAAAGAAGCAAATCCTTGTCTATTGGACGAAAAATGCTGTAAAATCGACTGACAAAGAACCACTTCATATCATGATGTTTGATTGATTCATTATCGTGCAAGAATCTTGTATCGACTCTGCATCGTATGTGAACGACTGGACTCGGTACAAAGGTAAGACGAAGTAAGACGACATTTTGTATTCATTGAGCTTGATAACATCCAACAAAAAGAAGAAAAAGTGGTATTTATCCTTCAATCATGTCACCAATCGTTCGTGGTTGTTTAGTGCTGTCTAAGTATCGATATGAATTCGAAATAACTTATTAGTCGAATGTCGAAGAATTGAACACTTTGCATCATGCAGTGTATGCTCGATTTTATAACGAAATGTCGCTAAATATTTGTAGGAATTCTATTTGATTTACTTATCCTATTCATCATACTTGTGATTTAGAACTTTATCATGAGTTATTTTACTCTTAAAATCAATTTATTTACTGTTTGAGCTCAAGTTAATATAATGTCTACTTCTCGCCATTTTGACAACACAGGAAGCCCAATTTGATATACTGAAGTCTTTGGAGAGACGACATGAAATGGTCGAAGGCATATTCTATCGGTGAATCAAAACTAGAAGCTGGTGAGACTAGAGATGCCATAAGATACTTTAAAAAGGCCCTGGTAATTGCACAGAAGAATGGCTCTAAACAGGAAGAAGCTGACACACTTGAACGACTTGGTAATGTTTACCGTGATATAGAACATTATCACGAAGCTGTTGATTGCTTTGAGAAGGGACTGGAAATAGTAAAAGAGACTGGTGACAAGAAACTAGAGAGTGAGATGTGTTATCGCATTGGTCTTGCGTGTGATAAACTGGGAGATTATGAAAAGTTTATGCAGTATTCAAAACAAGGCTTCAATGTTGCATTAAGAATCGGTGACTCTAGACTCACTGCACATTCCTATGAAGGTCTTGGGCGTGCTTTCTGTGCCCTGTGTGACTATCAAAAGAGTATTACGTGTCATAAAAAAGCTATTGATGTGTACAAACAACTGAATAATGAAGAAGGATTAGGTGTTTGTTATGCAAACATGTCATTATCATATCAGATGCAAGGAAAGTACCATGATGCAATTCGTCTATTAGAGGAGAGTCTCAGGATAAGTGTTAATGAAATTGGAAGAAAGGAACATCAAGCGATTGCCTTACTTAACTTGGGAACAATATACACGAAGCTGAATGATATTGATAAGGCCCTCGAGATGTTCCAGAAAAGTCTTACTATCAGTATAGATATCAGTAATAAAGGTCTTCAAGCAAACTGTTGTGTTGGACTGGGAAATCTATTGATAAATTATTCTAACAAATATTTAAAAGCCATTCCATTTTTTCAGCAATGCTTAGACATTTCTATAGAAATCGGCGATAAACAATTACAATCGGTCACCTTAGTAAACATTGGCAAATGCTTAACGGGATTACATCGATACGAAGAGGCGAATAAACACTACGACAGTAGTCTTGCTATTGCTAAAGAATTAAATGACAAAGGTCTTGAGGCAAGTATTTATTATGCTATGGCTGAAAACAATATAATCAGAAATCAATTTCAAACTGCATTACCCTTATTAGAGAAATGCCATGACATCGCTTCGATTAATGGCAATACAGAAATTGAGGGTGCAGCATGCTATGGTTTAGGTAAAATATACTATTCATTACACAAAGAAAACCAAGGACATCAAGCGTGTCACGATACTGATGATAATATAGCTAAATCAGAACAATACTTGAGGAAGGCTCTTGATTGTTTTGACTTTTTATTTCAACATCTCCATCAACGGGATCTTCTCAAAGTGTCTATTTTCGATAAATTCAATAAAGCGTACAAACTACTCACGACTGTGCTAATCGAGACAGGGAGACCACAAGAGGCTCTGTTGGTATCTGATGGTGGAAGAGCACGTGCTTTAGGAGATCGATTGATGTTTAAATACGGCATAATTCAGAAAGATATGTCATTGCCTAAGCCACTAACCTATTCTGATGTGGAGGCGATCTTCTTTAAAGATGTCTTCGCGATACTGCATTACGGCTTGCTAAGCGACAGTTTGGCTGTGTGGGTTTTAGCTAAAGACTCACTGATGTTCAGAGAAACTGAAAAGGAACAATTTGACTCTGCCATAGAAACATTGACTGAAGAAAAGGAAGATAGTGATGAAAACTCCATTAAACGTTTCTTTACTGGAACTGTTTCAAAGGCATATGAAATGATGAAAATTCAAGAAAGCGTGACTTGTGAAAACAGATCACTTGATGATTGCGTTACATCGAAAGATCACGTCACTACCAATGCTTCTGAATCTCTGTCACGTGATGATGGTACCAGTGAAGAGGCCCTCGATAAAGCGTCACACCCACTGGAAATGTTGTACAATTGTTTAGTTGCACCAGTCCTATCAAATGTACCACACGACGAGATTGTCATAGTACCCGATGGACCAATGTATCGAGTACCGTTTGCTGCCCTCAGGGATCCCAATACAGGACAATATTTGTCAGACACCAAACGCATTCGTCTTGCTCCATCGATAGCAATATTAAAGGCTCTAAAAGAATGTCCAGTGGATCATCACAGACAAAAAGGAGCGTTGATTGTAGGAAATCCAAGTGTTGGAGAAGTCATGTTTAGAGGAAAGAAAAGAACGTTTGCACGTTTACTTTCAGCAGAAACGGAAGTCAGATTTATTTCTTATAAATTGGGACAGGCCGCTCTGACTGGAGAACAAGCTACCAAAAACACTGTGTTGCACAAACTGAGAGAAGGATCAGCTTTAATTCACATTGCTGCACACGGGAGCTCTGATAATGGTGAAATAGCGCTGGCACCAAATGTCTCACCAGAAAGACAAGGAATCCCAGAAGAAGATGACTACCTGTTGACGATGAAAGAAGTTCAAGAAATCGGAATCAAAGCTCAACTTGTTGTGCTAAGCTGTTGCTACAGTGGT